ATAATAATAATAATAATAATAATAATAATAATAATAATAATAATAATAATAAATAAATAATTAATTAATTAATTAATAATAATTATTATAAGGAATTATATCTATTATTGATATTAGACATACTTTTAAGATAAGAAATTTCTTCCTAGTTTTATCTATATCTTCAACAAATCTAAACTTTCTGAATACTAAAACTACATCTTTAAATAAAAAACTTGTTAATATTGAATCTGTGGTATCATCATTTTGAAAATAAAATTCGACTAAAAAGATATTTAAGGGAGAAGTACTATTTCTGAGATGTAATACTCTAGAAGCTTTAACAATTATAAGAGCTTTGCTTGTAGTAGTTTCTTGTTGATCAGTAATATAGCATATAGTTGTGATAGTAGATGGCATTTTTAATGAATTTTTTTTATTATAAGATTTAAATATAAAATTATTATAGTAATACGTAAAAAGAAAATTCATTTCTCTTATATACATTTATATACAATTTTTTAGAAGGGATAGTAATAAATTTTTAAAATAATATTTATTATTATTATTTTTCCATTATCATATTTTTTTTACTCACATGATTATAACAATATTCTAGTACACAATTTTATATGCTAATTACTCATGTATATTATTATTGTTTTCCTCTAATTATTTGTTACTACATTCAATGAATATGTTTTCATATGCATGTAACATTATTTAATAAATTTTTTTTTTTAATATTCAGCAGTCAGGCCACAACTTTATTTGAAATTTTTGTAATACAAAAACCAACAAAGGACTATCTATAAGCCCTATATATGGCAGTATTTTAAGTTTTCTAAAGTGTAGCTTTCCTGGTTTCTATACAGACCTGTGAATGACTTGCTATAATGAGTATTCCTCTTCCTTTACTCTCTTACACATTTCAATACTTTGATAGTAAAGATCAATGGTGTAGAACTCACAGCTCATCCTAACTGTAATAGCAAATTCCTAATTATCCCTTCTAAAAGTCTACTTTAAAGAAACAATAAAGAGAAACCTAACTATAACAATAAGAACTAAAA